CCACTCTTGCAGCTCCTCTCGAGTCAAGGCACAGCACTGACAGGAGCATGGGCACCTGCAGCTTACCCATGCTGGAGCCTGTCACAGATGAGCATTGTACCTGCAGGGTCACAGCAACTTTGTCACCTGGAACTAGTCTGGAAATTATTTGTGCCTTGGGGAATGCAGCAGGTACATTTAAGACTCAGCTGCTTGCCAGTTTGACTCTGCCAGCTGAATCCAGCTGTCTGATTTGGGCCATGGGGAAAGGGGAGGGTTAAAAGAGGGCAGCAGTCACTTTGCAATACAGTAACTTGTTTTGAACCCTAAGTGATTCAGTCAATTGTCTTAATTTCACTACTTTGGAAAACACCCATAAGTGGGACTTCAAATTCAATTGTTACTTCTGATTTTTGTTTTAAAAATTGACTTATCTTGCTACATTGACATGATAATTTGCTGATTGGCTGCACTCATTTTATGCCCCATATAATTAATTTTGAATCATTAGGTTCAATTTTAATTGACATTGATTTGATAATTAAATGTAGTAGTTCTTCGCTACTCTAGTCCAGTCCTAGCAGCACGTTTGGGTCTTTGCTATTAATAAACTTCACAAATCTGCTTTCATTTTTCAGGCTACCAACTCAGACTAAATGTCTGAAGAATATAAGATAAATTAGATGATTCAGCTAATGACCTACTTACCTCAATCTAAACTTTTTGTCTCCTTCTTAAAGGGCAACCAAATGGTGTAATGATATGCAAAAATTTAAGTATTCCAAGGCACACATCATGAGGTAAAACTTGCTTCTAACCCAAAATAAAAAGTTAACTTAATGTTCGAATGAACACCTCTCATTTGCTGCTTACAGATCTGATTTTACCCCTACCACAGCCAGTATGATTTTGCTACTGATATTAGCCCTAAGTCCCTCCAGTCCCTCAACACACCTCAATCTTTCCTATGCAAGAACTCGTTTTGATGTGCACTTTATGCTTTGTTAAAGTTACTTTATAAAAGCAAAATAATCCAGGAAATACATGCTACTTTAGATATATGATATTTATGCTGTATTAGTAAATCCTGCATCTGTATGAGTCTGTACCTCCCTGAATTCATTGGCCTGCCTTTTGTTTGTTTGTTTGTTTGTTTCCACAGTGTCTTTTAATAATGTAGAGGCCACAAAGTATTCTCTATGTTCTGTCTTGTATCACTGTATCAACCCAAACTACATTTAAATAAGCTCCCTTAAGTTCCAGAAAGAGACAGAATCTGGTGATGAAGATCACACCCTAATAAATGTATTACATACCAAAGATGCCATGTCTGATCTGTAAATCAAGGTACTTGTACACAAGAGATCTCCTCTGGTGAGCAGTCATGCCTCTGAAATGCAGTCATGAAGCAGATAGATGTTTTCACTAGTAATGCACCAGGAAAAGCATGCCTTCCTGCTGATTTAAATAAGATTTATTTAAATCCTCGTGAGTATTTGATGCTGAGCAGGTGACTTGTCTCAAGGTCAGCTCTTATGGAAACAAAGCATGACTAAAAAGGGCTACCAAGACTAATCCTAGTAACTGGCATTGGATTAAATCCTGAAATAACAGCGAAAAGCACAAAATAAACATAGCATAAGTTTAACAATATGGGCAAGCCTAGGCTTCTGCTGAATAGGATGAGCTTGGAAGGTCAACGAAATGAAAATTCTTTCAGTGTGATTAGGCTGGATGTGTTCAAGTGTAAACTGCAGTGTGGATGATTACATATATTGTCCAAGACAGGGGCTCATTTAAACATTTTGGTATGCTTAAATGCCATCTAGAATTAACTTATACTAAGGGCAGTCAAGACAGCCTGCCACTGACAGATAACAACTTAAAATGCTTGAATGACCTACACCTGGTCTTCCCTGACTAGGCAAGATGCAAATGTGGATCTTCTGTATGACCTGTGCAGGAGAAATGTGAAACCTGGAGTAAAGATACACATGAGTTATTAGGGCATACACCCCTTTTTTAGTGGGATAAACATTGAACATGTTATTAAGATGAATTTTTTAGGTTTAGGCCCATGTCTTTACAGAAAAAATGTATTTTTATCCATTGGCTTTAGCATCATCTATCCAAGAAAGACACTCTAAAATATTCGTGAGAGAGCAGGGTGACTTTTCACCAGCTCAATTATCCTTTGCATTGCTCTGGTGATGTAAAAATTCTCCAGTATCAAAAAGAACCCAGACTCACACATTGACTTTGCTGCCTATTTAAAGCACTAAACCCTACTACAGCTTAGCATTATTAGTAGCAAGAATCCTGTTGGCCTGAACTAGCAACTGTATAATCCAACAGTACAGTTGCCTATGCAACACATTCTTCAACTTCATCAGACATTTTCAGGCCCGATTACTGACAACAAAACTTATTAACTGGGCTTAATTTGGAAAATTGGTCTCTTTTGTACTGGATTAATTATTATACATGTCAGTAAAAACATACTTGAAAGGTTAAAATTCCTAGGTTGAGCCTGATAATCTGGCAGGAATTGGTTCCACAGCTGGAGACTGCTTATTAATAAATCCGTGAGTAGCTGCAGCTGTAGTCATCACTGAAACCTGGAGAAAGGAGAAGCTTTCCAGCCTGTGCAAGACTCAGACTGGTGACAGCCACAGATTTCCAATGTGCTTTGCTTAAAAAGTAACTGTCAGAATCATCATTTCTACTTCACAAGCAGAGAGGAAGGGATGCACAAGGATGTGGTGTCCCAAGGTGCTGATACAAACAAACACAGTCAGGCAGAGAATTGGATTTCTGATTACTGGCTTTTGGCCACTGGTTCCCAGTGAGATCTCTGTTTCTGCTGCTTCACTGGAGACCAGCAGCCATCAGCATAGCACTGAACACATGGTTGCTAACACAGTTGCATTAGCCTGCTCTGCTCCATAGGTTGGCCATGGTATCTGTACCAATAACAGAATCCTTGGACTTCCTTGGTCAGGCTTCAGCAAAGTGCACAAAGTAGTTAAGTCTGAAAATGCATGGATCAGATCATGGTCTAAATCCTCCTCTAATGGGGACATGTACACTGTAAGACTGCAATATGTCCTCAGGAGGACCTGTTTAAAATAGATATTAAAAAGAGACACATCACCAGCACCTGGTTTTGATGGGGTTTGTGGGTATCAGATCCTGTAGATGAGCATTTTGCTTGTCCAGTGAGCAGAGCACTGAGTGCACAGCTGTGTGCAGTGGCTGTGTGCACGATGCAGTGCACATAGGGAGGAAAAGGAGCCTGGGCTGGGCTGCAGCAGCTTTCAGGTAACACCTGCTGTCACACTACAGCTGTTCTTCACAGTGCTTCAGGGCAGCTTTCTTCTTCTGGAGCCTACACCCACCCTGTGTCTGCCACGTCAGGGTGACGGCTCGGGGAATGCCTGGCTCTGCCAGCTGCTTTTGGATGAATTGTTTCATTCCTGCCTGACCAAGGACAACTTTCCTGCCTGATGGTAGACTTCAGAAAATGGAACAGTAAGAGGTGTTTGGAGAAACATGAGGGAGGAAGAGTCACCTGGAAAGGGACCCTATTGATCTCTTCAACGCCCTAACAGGAGGTTGTAGCCGGGTGAGGACCGATTTCATGTCCCAAGCAGCAAGTGAAGGTACCAGAGGAAACAGCCTCAAGTTGCACCAAAGGAGATCTAGGTCAGGTTTTTGGGAAAATTTCTTCATTGAAAGGGTGTCAAACATTGGCACGGGCTGGGTGTTTCACAATAGGGTGTTTCTTCTACTTATTTTTAGTCAGACTCACCTCAGCTTGTACTAAAGTAAAATCTTATGATTTCTCTGTCACACTAGCAATAGAAACAGATTCTGTCCCCACATGTCTTGATGGGATTAATGTGCACTGCGCACTAGTTTTGACTAAAGCTTTATATTCTTGTGGTTCAGATGTGCCAGGCCAACGAATTTACACAGTCTAAAAAACATGGTTTTCTTTAGCCTCTACTTGGCTAGAGGCAGGGCCCCTCTAAGCCTGGTTATATGGGTATATGTCTTGGAGGTTTCTTTAAGGGGATTGAAAATATTATCATCATCATATATGGCAGTTTGGTTACAGGCTATTGGAGCTGCTTTTTTTTGGAACTTCTTCTTTGAGTCTTCAGTTCATGAACCTGTTGGGCCAGAGAAGCAGTAGATTTTCCATCACATCTCCTCCTGTTTTCTTCACAATCACGCAGGAAGAACAACAGCTCAGCTCGTGGGGTGTACCTTCTCTCCCCATCTGGGGAACCACTGCGTTGGGCATTAGAACCTCTGACCTGTACTGCTGAGATTTGGAGAAAGCCCTCTTTAATCTCCTCCCTGAGTTTTTTGTGGTTCTCTTATCTTGTCTTCTAATTTTTGCAGACATGTTTTTACTGCTGCAATTCTGGCATGTGTTGGGCTATGTACAGCATCTGCATATGCTCGGAGCTTTGCTATATCAAGCACAGTCTCCTCACTGTCATCCTGCTTCATTATTGTTAAAGCAGAAGCATATTTTTGTGGGTTAAGTCGCACAAGTTTTCGCTACATCCACGTACACGGATGTACATGGTACCAAATCTGGATTTACAGTGTTTACGTCATTTGAGAAGAAAAATGGTGGAATCACCTTCTGAAGCGTTCAAAAACCATATGGATGTGACCCTCAGGGACGCGGTTTAGTGGTGCCCTTGGCAGTGCTGGGGGAACGGTTGGACTCAAAGATCCTAGAGGTTTTTTCCAATATAAATTCTTCAGTGATTTCCAGATACGTATATATATATATATATATATATATATTTAAACACGAACGTTAGTGACCTACGAAAGATATTTTAACAGTTAAAAACCCCTAACGTAACGACCCAAACACACGTATACAAGTGTACACCCGTGAGTCCGGCTGGAACGCCACGCTCGAGGGGAAGGAGGGAAGAGGCGGGGCGGGGAAGGAGGGCAGAGCTGCCCAGCCCGCCCTCTATTCCTCCCTCCCTCCCGCCTTCGGGCGGCCGGGTGCGGCGCTGCGTCTTCTCGGAGCCGAACCGGGCCGTCCCCGCGGCGGCCTTCACCTTCCTCCCCTTCCTGGTGGCTGGGCTGGGGCCTGCCCGCGGCCCCGGGAGGAGATGGAGGCGGCGGCGGCAGGGCCGGGCGGCGGCGGCAGCAGCTGAGCGGGGCCGGGGAGGCGCCGCCGCCGCCCGCAGCCGGGCGGGGGGATGCGCCGGCAGCCGGGGCCGCCCGAGCGGGCCGGCCGTGCCTCCGAGTGAGGCGGGACCCCGCCGCCGCGGGCCGGGGCTGCGGGCAGCGGCGCTGGAGGGCCGGTAAGCCGGGGAGGGGCCGGGCAGCGCCGCGGGGGGAGGCCAGGCGGCCGCTGGCCCCGGGCAGAGGCTCCTCCGGCACCCCGGGTCGGGCGGGGAAGCCAGCGGGCGCTGCATGTGCTGTCCGTCTCTGCCGGGTGAGGGCAAGCCCGCCCAGCTTCGTCGTCCTCCTCCAGAACGGGAAAAGTTGATATCTGTTCATCCTAGGTCCTTGCGCCTGGAGCCAGGCTGGGACTGGGGCTGGGCATTGCCTCGGCTCGTCCCCTGCCGGTCAGAGCACGGCCCTGTCCCCTCTTCTTGGCGGGGACCGCTCTGGTCTTACGGAATGATGAATGGAGCTCCCATGAAACCTGGACTCTGCCGTTCCCAGCTGTGAAGAGCGTGGGGTGCCCGCTGGAGTGGGAGCTGGTGTCTGTCAGACAGGGCACGGCGTGCGGAAGAGAGGCAGGGTCCCGGGCGCACGCCGGGCCTGCCCCGGCCGAGGTAGGTCCCGGGTGGGTCCCGCGGCCGGGGCCGAGGTGGGTCCCGGGTGGGTCCCGCGGCTGGGGCCGCGCTGCCGCCCTGGTCCTTGCTTCGCATCCCGCTGACAGGTGAACTGCGTGCGCAGGGAGCGCTCCGGGCCGCAGCGGGAGCTGGAAGAGCAGACACGCAGGCCTGTTAGTGCCCTCGGGAGGAGGCGAGCCTTAGGAAAGAACCAGCCTGTTACGATGTATGTTAGAACGTCAAGTAGCACCACGCAACTTGCCAAAGAAGCGTCTGTGATATATGTTAGTCTGAATTTTTTTTTAGGTAGAACAAACTGGCCAGATTTTCTTACCTGTAAAATGACACAAAGAAAGCATTGGTGAAAATGAATTAGGTTGTCCCAGTTAGGTGTTGCTTGGCCTTTCTTACAAGTTCCATTTCCAGTGACGTGTCATCATGCGCTGATGGGCAAGCAGTTGGGAGTTTGAGCCTCCTGGCGTGTCACTGCCATTGACGATGCGTGCAGGGACTGTCCTGCCAAGGAGCCCCTGTGCTAGCAGCATAAGCTGCAGAGCCAGAGACTGTGCACTGAGTTTTAATGCTGCTTACATCGTTCGCCCTTTGTCCTATCATTCACTTCAAGACAGCAGTCTTCTGCAAAGAATTAGTGTTTGTTCAGGCTAATCTGAGTGCTATGTGACCGTTTGCGTTTGTGGTAGCCCTGAGAGGGAAGGACAGAGGAATGGGTGGGGACAGGAGTTTTGAGATCTTGTGTTTCTAAAAAGTGTAGAATTGTAGTAAGAGGGAGAAACTAACCAGAAAGCTGTGTGTTTCATTGTGAGAAAATGGACTAAACCTTCAATATATTTCTTGCTTTTGTCTACTTGTAGAGAAAAACTGTGTTTTAGACAACCAGAAATAGAAGACTGTTTTGGAAACTGAAGGAGCCTTTTAAAGAGAAAAACCAGAAGCTAGTACATGTAATTTACTAGAAATAAGTGCAGAGATAAAATAGGAAATGCAATTGCCCTATGTGAAAACAATAAAAATATTAAGACAGAGAAACAACATAAACACATTATTTTTTTAAAATTACTGGTTGTTGCATTTAAGTCAGCATAATGGTTGAGGTATTCCTGTCTGTAACTTTGAATAGTTCTGCTTCGAGATCAGTGTTGAGCTGCTGATACAGATGTTGATACAGTACTTTAGGATGCTAGAAGTAACAGTGTAGTAACATCATAATTACATTATGACAGATCCTTTGACAAGACTCTTACATTCTTTAGTATGGTTGCAGATTTCATGTGCACATTAAAACAAAAGAGTAGACAAAACTGCTAAATGTTTTCCTCTCAGCTTCCACATCTTGAAGGGTAAAAGTGGTGGTTCTTATGGAGGGGGCTGCACTTCTGACCCCTTCCTGCTCTCTAAGCCCTGTCTTTAAGGTGAGAATTGTACCACTTGTAGGTGACTGGCTGAAATGCTCTCCTGTCCCTGCAGCACAGGACCTGGCAGCAGGGTCCTCTCTCCACTAACTGCATTTCAGGTCAGAGCACACAGGAACTGCATTTCCCATGCGATTTAACACAATTTCTTGGAAATCCAATACATAAATTACATAAGGGAATATAGATCAATAGTCCTTAATGAATGGTGTGCATCCATCACCATTATAGAAGTGGGCAGGCTAGCAGGGATGCTATGAACATTGGAGGCAGTTTTTACCCTGCTTTATGTAGGACAAATATACTGAGTTGGGCAGAGAGGTTTGGCCCAGACTTTTCATTATGCCTCTGAAAAGCCCATAGCTGATTGTTAGAGATTTTCCTCCTGCAGAGTGTTCTCTGCAAGCTTCTGTCAGTCTGTTGCATTCAGTGTTTTGAATGTTGAACAGTTCTCATGGTTTTAGCAGAGCTACCTAAAAAGTAAAAAATGTCATTGCTACAGTTCTGTGTTTTGATATCAGATCTGAATTTTTTCTTCCGTGAGAGCTGGAAATGAACGCAGTGTCTGAGAGTAAAGGTAACAAATCTCAGTGCTTAAGTGGAAGATGGTGCATTTCATGGCAGACTGAAAAATGAGGACCTTTGAGACCTGGTGGTTTTCAGCATGAATCTTAGAGCAGGCTTGCTCTAGTGCAGTGGTAGAATGGGAATAACTTTTGAACTACTTAGCTGAGAAGAGGCCAGTCTGATGGAATTCCTATGATATTTTTATTTCCTGGTCAACAGTTTTCCACATAATGAAGAATAAACATGTTTGGGATGTTACATGATCAGTTGTCAGCCAGAGAATTGCAGCAAAAAACAGGAGATGACAAACATTGTCTTAATGGAGGTTGCAGCACCTGTGGTTGTCCAAAAGACAGTTGATTCCTAGGTATGGTGTTTTTAGAACTACTTAAAAATGGACTCATGAAAGAAGAGGGGGGAGAGAAAGAAACTTTCAGAAGCCAAGCTGAGAAATGCCACACTGAGAAGATAAAAGTAGGCCTGAACACTGCCATCCTAGCTAATTTTTTTCCCTTTAACTGGAGATGTTCAGTTTTTTTCATCCTTTTACCCATTTTGCATACATCATTTGGGTCCCAAGTCTGTTTTGAACTGCTTGACTGCCTGCACAGGTTTTCAGCTTATCCTGAAGATGGTTCACTGCTGTCAGTATGGAGAGAATTCTTCCTGGAAACATTTTTATTGCTGGAAGGCAAAAGCTAGTTGGAAAAGCTCTGGCACCTGTAGCAGTAGTAGTTGCAAGTGGACATGCTGAAACAACATCAAAATCAGGCTTCTGTTATTGAAGCTTTGTGGGAATGAACAATGTGGAATACTGGTATATGACTGAGAAACTTAATAAACACTTCCTTAGAAGATTTTTTTGCATCATACTGGGAATGAGGGCGTTTCTTGTATTCCTTGGCAATTCACTTAAATGCCAGTATAGAAATTGTGACCACAAACCATGCAGACGTGACTCTCAATGAAGTTGCATGTGGCTACTTTAGGACTGAATTTGATCCTATTGCTAGTTATAGGATTGTTGTGAGGATGTCATTGCATGAGATTTTTGTATTAGATTCTCTTTGGTTAAATGCTTGCATGTTGTGTTGCATGTGTTCTCAAAAGGAAGCATTCACTCTTTTCATCACCTGAGTTCAGCCCCTCAGGTGTCTTATCTCTCCAGCAACAGTAGAGACAATAGTGCTATATTTTTGTAGGTTTTGGATGTGGGTTATTTTTTTATTTGCAGTGGAGCTTTCACAGATACCTGGTGTCCACCCCTGTGTGTATTGCCCATCAGAAGTTGGAAATTCAGCTAAAGATACAGCCTAAAATTTTCCATTTCTCTTAGTGGCTGGGAATGTCAATCTCTCTTATCATTGGTTTCCTTATATTTAATCTTACAGTCATAGGAAAAATATTATCAAGATAGCAGTTTCAAAAATCAGGATAGAACTGCGTGTATTCACTCAGCTCCTGTGGGTGGTTTCTTTGCACATTAAAGCTGCAGTCTCAATTGTTTGGGTAACCCTTCCTGCACTCCTGAGGAAGTTCTGTCTTTGAGGCTTACCTGCAGGGATAGAGCTACACGTAGTAGGCAGTGCTGCGAGGAAACTGAAAAATATTTGGCCAGCTTAAGCTTAGTGTTCCAGCTTGGTAGCTTCCAGCCTGTAATTTCTGTAGGCTGGGCAGGGGAAAAGTCTGTGTTATATGTCATAAGCTGACTTGGGAGAGCCAAGTACAGTGTTAATGTTACATCTACCACTTTCTTCACAGCTTTCTTCATTCTCCCTCTTCATTCTCCCTTCCTTTCCTGCAATGGGCTGTCTTGCTAAGCTGAATCAAAAAATAAACTTTTTTTTGAAAAAAATGGGGTTTTTCATCTATCTCCCCAAGCAGTCAGACAGACAGTGCTATTCCCAGCACAAGGAGGAGGGAGGAATGTGAGCACGGGTGAAGGAGTGAAGTCTTCCTTTGATACCAGCCAATGGTTCCATTGTCTCAGCTTTAATGTTGCTTAAAAATACGGCTGAATGGACAAAAAGTTAAATGTGGAATTTACCTCTATGTTTTATGACACACATCCATATTAAAGTTTTTTATTTTTGGTTATGGAAACTATTTTTTCTAAACTGTAACAAAAATAATTAATGCGTCAATCTTTTCTCTTTCAAACAGAAAGTGCCAACTTTATATGGCTCATCTGACAACATGCACCACCGGTGGCTGCTGCTAGCTGCATGCTTTTGGGTGATATTCATGTTCATGGTTGCTAGCAAGTTTATCACATTGACTTTTAAAGACCCAGATGGTAAGTTTAGCTTTAATGTTTGATGTGAAACAGAAAATTGAACAGTGCTTCACAAAAATACTCTTTTTCTATGAAAGTAGTTTTTGGCATGTTATCACTTCTTCAGTAGGACTGAGAACAGAACAACTAAATAACTGGAAGTGACAGTACTGATATTCAGTTCCATTTCTTGCTAGAAGTCTACACATTTAACATCACAGGAGATTTTTTTTGGTGGTTAAGAACAGAAGGGATTGTGTTTGGCAGTACTGTCTTGGCAGGTCTGTTTTTTCAAATACATTTAGTTTCAGTATCATGATCTACTAGGGGTAGAAGCTATGTGCAGAAACAGCAGAGCACTATTACCTGTTTAAAGTCAGAAGAGACTCAGAGGGTACTGAGGAGTTCATTTCACATGATTTTAGCTTTTGTCCTTTTGTCACTGCTTGTCTTGTGGCTGAGGCATTATGTAAAACTTGTGGAAAGTTTTGTTTCATTTGCAATGCACTTTGCCTAGCCGCCTCTGGCCTGCTTCTTGCATTCAGTTTTATCTCCTGCTATTTGACTTGTAAACAGCTTATAGGCTTTTGCTCAGCTTAAGTAGCTGAGATGTTATTAAGATGATGAGGAATTTAAGCCATTTGATGACACCACGCAGCATGTTACTTTTGTGTCTGCTGGGGAGCTGCTCTTACAAAGCCACCCTACAGAGAGTTTTGGGTGAAGGTGATGATAGGACTTTGAGTCTTAAGAGATCTGTTTTTGCATCTTCCTAAGACATGCAAAAAATATGTAAGTTTTGAAGCATTGACACTTGTGCCGTGTTTTTCAATAACTTGATAATGGATAAATACATTAGGTGTACCTTTATAAATAATATGCATCTATGTGAAGATTTATTCAGCAAGTCTTACAGGGGAGAAATGTAGACTAACACAGCTGTTCTGTCCTGGTACATCTGCAAATCAGCTAGTCCTATGTTAGGTAGTTACATCTTCCAGTATTTCACTCTATGCCAACTCTTGTTTCCCAGGTGTTCTTTGGGTGTTTCTTTTCATCAGAATTTGTCAGGAAAATTAAAATGTAGTTTAAAAAAATAGTTAGAACATAGCCTTTGCATTTATTTGCTTTTTATTATCTTGGCTTGCCAAGTTTTTTCTCTTTTTTTTTTTTTTTCCTATGCTGAATCTTCAACTCCTTTTGAATAGTTCTCTGAGCAGATGATCCATAATTTCTTAAGCTTGTCTTGCAAAGGCATGACTATAGTTAAATGTATATATGTGTTGGAGTGTTTGTAATAAAACTAATTAAAGGAAATACTTTGAATATACCAACAGAATTTTGGAGGAAGTCCAAACAGGATGGCAAATCCTGGAAAAGCTCTTCTAGACTTAATATGACTTGTCAGAATTTTTCTTATTTGGATGCGTCTTCCTAGCAGATGGAATAAAACCATCAGATGCTCTATGAATCAATGTTCTTTTGTTTAAGCCTTTTACTGATGTCTTGGGTGCATGAGCAATAGGAACTTCTTAAGGACCAAGTGTCTGTCCATCTTTCCTAGTAGCATCTACAGGCATGCTTTTACACAATGACAGTGGAAAAATAGTTTAGCTGCTCTTTCACTGAATCAGATTACTTGTATTTTACAGAAGAACACCACGAAGCAAGTCTGTGCACAGCAACAATTACAGTTTCTGAATGCTTGAATGCTTACATTGCTTTCAGTTTTAACTTGCTTTTCCGTGCATGCCCTTTGTTAAAATCCAGTGTAGGCAGAATAGAGTACTCCCTGAAGAAAAGGACAGTGCACACGCTTTCTCAGCCATGAAACAGTAAGCCTCTGTGGATGCAGATGAGGCAACATTATTCATAGAAGAATCTATATGAAAAGAAAAGTAATCCAATATGAATGGAAATAAATTTTCAGGGAGAAAACATGTTCTTTTTGCTTTGTAGTTAGGGAAAGCTGCTTCAGATTTTTTTTTTGTTTTGTTTTTCTGCACTGTGTAGACTAAAGCTAAAACCTTGTGTTATTTTTTGGTTTTTCTGTACCATACTAAATGCAAAAGATGAAAAGGGTTCTTCCTTACATGCTTTAATTTGGTCTCAAACTATTAGCTGTCCTAAAATCACTAAAAAAGAAAAAGAGTATCAGCTGAGTTTGTTGTTGTGAGAATCTCTGAGGAAGGCCATTGGTCCAGTAATAGAGGAAGAGGGGATCTTTATTTATTGTTGATTATAGGTGCTTACTTAGAGTACCACAGAAATAAAAGGGTGTCCATAACAACACTTTCCTTCTTGTATGTTTAATAGTCTACGAAAGAAGAAACATTTTTACTAGTATAAGGGGAGAGAGGAACCTGATAGATTTAAGTTTTTTGTTTGGAGGTGCTTTGACAAGTTCGTTGAAAAATAAAAATTATGCACGAGTCCATATAGTTATACCAAATTATTTTTCAACTGAGGTATTTGGATTCAAGACTTTGATGTCTCTGCACGCTTTTTAGAAAAAAAACCAAAGAAAACAACCAAAAAAACCAAGTAAAATATAATGGGTATGTTTCTTTGATAAAACTCAAATGAAGTTGCATCCAAAATTCCCAGAGTACATCCTTTAAAATATTCATAGTCTATGTCTGTCTTGTCTAGTACTTTGCCATGTAGAAACAAATCCTAGTGTTTTGTAAGGTCAATACAGAAAGTGAAGTTGATGTGTTTTAGTTGTAAAGCAGAAATAGTTGCTTTCCCCTCACCGTCTGTAATGCTGTTATCTCTCTCCCTTCTTTAGGCTATGGTGCCAAGCAAGAGCCATTGATTCTGACAGCTGTGACAAAAGTGGAGGAGGTACATGTGCCAGAGGAAAAACATTGGCCAGAGGAATTCCAGGTGCATACTGTTGAGATAAGGGTTATATGTATTAAAGAGTAGAAGAAAAGAAGAGATTAAGGAAGGGCTTCCTGTTGTTAAGATGAATTGCTAGACAGGAATTATTTATTCAGGCTGTTCTATTTAGATAGAGCCGACAGAATTCATTTTAACTTCACAAAGCTGGTTTGTTACAGTAATCTGCTGTCTTGTTTCATCTGAATGATTCAACTTAATGTGTTTCCATTTCTAGGAGAAAATTGTTACAGTACTCCTTTATCAAGTCAGGACAGTTGTTTTTGTTAGCCTTTTTAATGTAACGGCCCAGTTTTGGATTAGTTGTGTTCTGTCTTGCCATAGCGATCAGGTTTGTGGTTGTTGAGGGCAAACCAGTGTCTGCTCTATTCTCTTAGATTTCTGCCCAATCTCTCTACTTCTTTTTATCACTGTCAATTTCTTCTTCATATTTTGTGCTCTTTGTGTTTCACATTTCAGCATTTTTCCAAAGTAGAACATGAACACAATGGTAGTCAATACCACTTGATCTTTTAGATGCACAGCTCTGTGCTTTCAGCAAATTGACAATGAAACTATGAAAATCCTTTATACAAATGTAAATTTGAGGCCAGTTTCAGAGTGCGCTAAATCAAATTTGTTTTCTTTTTTTGCATTAGCACATTAGTCATCTTATGTTTAAAGTATTTTTGTGATGTACATGTAAGGTAGGTTAGCTGTATAAACACGGATCTTTTTATTTTCATTTTGCAAAAGCACAAAATTTAAGTTACCTTCAAAATACTTGGGAAAAACACTTTGTTCAGTGGAAGGTAGATATGTATAAAGAGTTTTAATAGCTTTCTTTACTAGTATGGAAGAGAATAATAAGGTTTCTGGATCTAAAACAATTCCCTCTTGACTTCCTGACAGCGTGAAATGTAGACTAACAACATTAATTTTTGTTACCTGCAGAAAGAATTGTTTGGACAGATAAAATAGTCTGACAGACAGTTCAGATTACATTCTGAGCAGGGGATATTTGAGAAGAGTAACAAACAGAAAAAGCAGAATTTTTTTATTTCCTTATGAAAGGTTGGGACAAAAAGTAAAATAATTCCTTTTTCATCTGTTGCTTGGACACTGTACCTAAAGTCATAGAATCACAGAATGGTTTGAGTTGGAAGGGACTGTTGAAGATCATCTAGTTCCAAGCCCTCTGCCATGGACAGGGACACCTTTCATTAGCCCAGATTGCTCAGAGCCCCATCCAACCTGGCCTTGAACATTTCTAGGGTGGGCCATCCACAGCTGCTCTGGGTAGCAGGTTCCAGTGCCTGACCACTCTCATAGGAAAAAAATTCCTTCCTAATGTCTAAACCTATTTTTTTTTTCAGTAGAAAATCATTACCCCTGTCTTGTCACTGCAGTCCCTGGTAAAAAGTCTGTCTTTCTTACAAACCTCTTGTGAGCATTGAAAGGCTGCAGTGGGGTGTTCCTGGAGCCTTTTCTTCCCCAGGCTGAACTGCCACAGCTGTGTCAGCCTGTCTTCATAGGAGAGGTGCTCCATCTTGGACCATCTTCACGGCCTCCTCTGGACCTTCCCTTAACAGGTCCATGTGTTTCCTGTGCTGGGGCCCCAGGGCTGCATGCGGCACTCCAGGTGGCAGTAGAGCAGAGTACAGGGGGAGAGTCACCTCCTTTGACCTGCTGGCCACTGTGCTTTTTTGATGCAGTCCAGGGTGCAGTTGGCTTTCTGGGCTGCAAGTACACATTGCCAGCTCACATCCAGTTTTTCACTCATCGGTATCCCCAAGTCCTTGGCAGGGTTGGTCTCAATCATTTCATCCCCTAGTCTGTATTGATATTGGGGATTGCCATTCAGTTAGTGGAAAAGTGAAAATTTGTCAGTAGAAATTTAAACTTTCCTATAACCTCTTAATTAGAGAAACTCCTTTTTCCTCTCACTCCACTAGTTGTGAGGCAAAAGGTGGTTGTGGTTCCTTTCTTAGTCTCAGAAAAATGAGACATGTGAAACAGCTCATCCACTTTTGGGTGAAAGGTATCCTGATACTTCTTTTATTTGTCACACTGATGCTCATTGTTCACATTTTTATTTACCTGATTTTATTTCAGCTTGGATAAATGGAAACACAAGATGCCTACAGGTGCTAGAAAACAACACAACAATACAGAACTTTTATCCCAATTTTTTTTCCCAGCCAGATGGGTCACAAAATATTCTGAGTTGGAAGGGATCCACAAGGATCATAGAGTCCAACTCTTAGTCTGCGCAGGATGTCCCCAAGAATCACACCATGGGTCAGCCCTACCTTCTCAGAGCATAAAGCATAATTTATATTGGAATTCCTGTCCTAACCTCTCAGAAGCTTTCTTACAGGTTGTTGAAACTCTGTGTGAGTTTCAGTATTTGATCAAGGCATGTTTTATCCACACAGATAATGCTCTGCTGCTGTGCAGCAGACTTAAATTGTTGTATGGAGAAGTTCTTACTACTGTATATACTACCATGTAATGTCTTAAGAGCTGAACCAAAGTACAGCAGCAGCACAGGAAGCAAACTGTTGGCTACTCCTTTAGTTAATACGAAGCAATGTTTTAATCTGGGAGTCATTAGGGTGCATAGTTTGGGGATTTTTAAACTTCATAATTTGATCTGAAAACTAAAGTCTTTAACTTTTTTTTTTTTTTTCTTTCTCCTCTGCATTTCATAAAGCCAACTGGAAAAGCTTTTTCAGGAAATCTGATCCGCCAACCCCTGGTTCATATGGAAAGACTTGAGCTTCTCAGGAATGTCTGCAGAGACACTACATTGAGAGATCTCTCTCATACTGCAGTTTCCAAATTTGTGTTGGACAGAATATTTGTGTGTGACAAGCACAAGATCCTGTTTTGTCAGACGCCAAAAGTGGGCAACACTCAGTGGAAAAAAGTCTTGATCGTTTTAAATGGTATCTACTTTTCTGTGGGTGTGTGGGTTTCTTTGAGGAGGAGGAGGAAATGGAATTGCTCTGACTGGGTCAACTGAAAAGGATTCTTTCTGCATTTCTGTACACTGATACTTAATTTCAACTTTTAATTTATCACAGGTGTTTCTAGTCCTTTCAAAACATCCTCTTAAAATTCGATCTCTTCTTTCTGTAAAAATAAGTATAGTTATTACTTGGCTCTAAAGTTATTTGAGTCATGACAGAGTACCCATATGCATGTGGTAGGTAGGTTTCTTGTCTTTGAAGGGGTGCACTAATTTGTAGAATTTGAAAGTGTATTTGAAAGGTATTACTAAGTGACAGTAATGTGAAATTTCTGGCTAAAGGCCAGTGACTTTTAACTAGAGATTTTAGCCATGAAGAAAGCCAGTTAAACTTGTCAGCTCCTCTTGGTCTGTCTTGCTGAAATCTTTTGTGTGTTCTATCACTGAACCACATTAAGAGTTACGCAGATTCTGAGGTGCTTAACACAATAGTTTGGTCACCAAATGTATATTATAAAAGATGGTGAAAGAAGGAATAAAGGGGCAAGTGTGTTTGAAAAATTAGCAAATGAGCTGTGTCCCTCAGCAAAGATTTTCTAGCAAGCAGTACTAGCATTAAAAACTTTAATGTTAATTTCATCCTTGATCTATGGATGTGAGCTAAAAATCTAGCAGATATTCCCATACCTATGTGTGTGCATGTTTCTTAATACCTATGAAAGCCACACTCAAAGTACTAAATATGGAACTATATGAGGGCATTGGAAGTACCTGCTCTTAGCAGCACTTGAGAGATAACATGCAAAGAATGCCTCAGGATGGGCAGGCATGTATGGGCTATGCTGAGTGGAGGATAACTCATGTCTTAACAGCAGGGAACTTTTCACCTTGAGTTTCCTAGTTCTGTCATGTTGGATAATGGTAGAAAATTGCTTTCCGTTGCTTCCACACTGGTCTCTTTTGCCTTAAGCTGCCAGTTCACTGGTATCTGCTGATGAAGGCTACTGCTGTGGTTGACCTAACTTTCTCCTCTTTTGGTAGTCTCAGAAGGCAGAGCTGATACTTGAGGGGGAATAATTTATGCCCAATACCTAAATGGTATTTGGAGGCTCAGGAGGGGGAATGCAGCTGTGGCACTGTGGGGGAGCTAACTCTGCTATTTCTTGTACTGACTGTGTTCTCTGAATGAGTGCAAGGTATTGGTTTCTGAGGCTGTCTCATCTATTGTCCACATATGATTCATCTATGGTACCAAAAATACAACTGAAATCCTGAAACTGATAAAATACAACCCCAGTCCCCACCCCTCACCCCTGCCCCCTCCAGGAAAAAAAAAAAAGTTTGGAAAACTGAGCAGCTGAGTGGTGTGTATTATTCACTTCAGTTCTGGAAACAAGAAGGCTGTGAGGCTTTCACTTAACAGGCTTGTTTTGTAGCCCGCTGTGCTTGTTGCAGGTTGATATTCTGAAACGATGCTGTTGTGTGAAGGCTTATGCCTAAAGCCCAGGGGACCACATGAGATGTTTCTCAAGGTCATAAAACCTTCCAGGATCAGGATACTAAAATGAACACAGCAGAGTTGTGACGTTATTTTTTTTGTCAGCTCATGTGCTTGCAGAAATGAGTATCTGGAGACTTGTGTTGTTAATTTTAGTGCCTTTTAATCTGTGGAGTATTCTCTGATTGGAATTTTTGTTTCATCACAGCATACTTGTTAAAAAGACTTTATGGATCCTTAAAGCAAAGTACTTTTGCATTGAAGCAGTTCCAAAAGCAGCTCATAGCATTTATTTTTGTTGGTGGTTGAAACTCAGCCAAAAAGAGGGTTCCTTCTTCTGAGTTAATCCTGAAAGTCTTCCTTCATTTGTATGTGCAGGTAGAGGAAAAGAGAATGGGGACAGTGACATGTGAGGAGTTACAGGCTTAGACATAATTGCTGATGAGATTTGCGTAATATGCTTTTCTGAGAATTTTTGGGCCATTTGGTCTTGGACCGTGATGTCACGTACGCTGAAGAATTTTAACAGTTTTCAGCTTTGCAGTCAGAATCTCTCATAATTTCACAGTTTTAAACATACTAACTTTAAACAGTAAAAATAAAGGAAAGAGAAAGACATGAAACTGTCAGCCAAAGGCATGCATGCTTGCTTATACTCACTGTTTTTTTCCCTTGAATGAATCATTTGCTCTCTCATTTTGATTTGTCCAGGAGCATTTTCTTCCATAGAAGAGATCCCAGAAAACATTGTACATGATCATGAGAAGAATGGCCTTCCACGCTTGTCCTCTTTCAGTGACTCTGAAATTAAAAAACGGTGAGTGGCCCTGCCAGTGAGTGTGGAGGGGTTTGAGGTCAATGGTGTTATGAGCAATCAGGGGTACAGCTGAAGTCCGTGTCTGAAACTGAGGGCAGCAGGATTTCTGCTCCACCACTTGTATATGGCACAATTCTGTTATCCTCACAGATGTTGCTGTATCTGCCTTCCTCCTGGCTTTGAAAGAGAGCACCAGTGTAATCAGTGATATAGTTAGGTGAGCCAACCAACTCCCTGGGATATAAGGTTTCTGTAATTCAATGCCTACCTAGTTGTTAGATAGCTGACCTTCAGAACCAAAGGTTTAATTGGACAGCCCATCCATGTCTCATATGATAAATCTTACTGCCTACAGGCAAGATTGTCATTGCAGCAGACTTACTTACTAGGATTGAGCTGGTTAGGTTTAAATTGTTAGTGCTTCTTAGCCCCAGAATATTTTCCATTCAGCTGAACCACTTTGTTTTCCTGTTTAAGTGCTTCTGGTTATTTTCAGAGCCAAAAAATACTCTGCAATAGAACTTCTACATTACTTTGGCTAGATTTTTAACTGTGCCTGCTCTCATCTCTGTTAGAGCCTATGCCATATATAATCCCTGTAAGGCGTGGCAACATGGAGAAAATAGGACATAGGATGACAGTGGACACGTGTAAGCCTGTTCTTGCATGGGTTTGTGTGCATTACACCATTCTGAAAAGTCAGCCCTTTATACATGTGTCATGTGTTAGTAGAGCTCAGCCCAAGGGTTTTTGTTGCATTCAGTGGCACAAGGACATTTATCACAGTTGTGCCTGTAGAACTGGGGTCACTTAATTGTGTTCATACTGTACGAAGGAAAATACGGTCACTGCATTCTTGAGAACATGGATCTGCTTCCCTCCCTGTGAGCAGCCTTGCAGAAAGGAACTGTTCACCTGGGGGTAAGCTCTAGTTAGGATACATGAAGTTGAATCCATTATTGCTTGGGTTGCTGCGTTCTGCTCAGCATGGAAGCTATGCTGGAGGTGTATAACATGGGTTCGGTTTGGATCTGAAATTACCAGCGTTTTCAGTGTGGAAAGCAGGATGGTGTGGATCTCTTGACTCAGTTTGCTGACCTCTATCTAGCCCTGCCTGGCTAGGAGTAAGTCAGGAGTATCTGAAGTATGATGCAAGTGGTGTACAGGCTGAGGAGTCTATCCACATCCAGTCCACCCATCCTCATTTCAGTGAGGACTGGGCTCTCAATCTCTTTTCTTAGCTATTTCTTGAAATAAACTTTGTTTTCAATTTACTCCTCCTACAGATAATCTGATTACAGAATGTTGCATATTACAGTATCACAGTAATACATTAAATTCTGTAACTGTGGTCTCATTTTCAGTGGTGCTCTCAGCCGTTATTGAAAGCATGACGAAACATCAAAATAAAATACTATTCTTAACTTCTTTGTACTTAAGCAGCAATTTATCTAACTACCTGCCAGTGAAAAATGCCGCCTTCTATATGCATTTAGCTGCACCAATGCACTTTTCTCCATGTCCTTAAGTATTTTGGTTTTTTTGAGCTTGATCACATGACATTACAAATATCTTTAACTTGGAGCTCTCAGTGTCTTTTGTCTCCTGTTTATTATGGATTGAGATAAGCTAAACTCCTCCAGTTTGAATAATATGTGAAAACTAGGATTAACCATTTCTTCTTTGTCCTGTATGTAAAAACTGCTAGTAAGAAGACAGAAATTGTATTTTGTTCTATTGATTATAATATTGATGCAAGTGCTCTAAGATTCATGTTGCTGAGTGTGTGGTCAGAGTTCATGTACATTTTGTAAGTATATAAGTTAAGCATTTTCCTTAATTATTTAATTTTTTTCTTCCTCTGTTTAGACTGAATTTATACTTCAAGTTTTTTATTGTTAGAGATCCATTTGAAAGACTTATTTCTGCGTTTAAGGACAAGTTTGTGCACAATCCTCGGTTTGAACCTTGGTACCGGCATGAAATTGCTCCCGGCATCATTCGTAAGTACAGGAAGAATCGCACAGAGACCAAAGGGCTGCAGTTTGAGGATTTTGTGCGCTACCTGGGGGACCCTAATCACCGATGGCTGGATGTTCAGTTTGGTGACCACATCATTCACTGGGTAACATATGTGGAACTTTGTGCTCCCTGTGAAATCACGTACAGTGTGATCGGACACCACGAAACCCTGGAGGACGATGCTCCGTATATCTTGAAAGCAGCTGGCATAGACCACTTGGTATCGTACCCCACAATCCCACCAGGCATAACAGTGTACAACAGAACAAAAGTAGAGCGGTATTTTTCAGGAATTAGCAAGAGAGACATAAGACGCCTCTATGCACGATTTGAAGGCGATTTTAAACTCTTTGGTTATCGTGAGCCTGATTTCTTGCTTAACTGACACCTGGGATAAGATCTGAAAAAGTGTCTCATGGATTAATCTAAACCTGTGTGAATACCAGCTGCAACACTGGCAGAGCTGAGAATGACCATTTGTTTTCTAGCTTTTTGACGTTGCTTCACTTTTCAGTGAAATATATTTGTCATATGAACAACTAGGGACTTATAGCTGTTGTTTCCTGACCATGTTTTCAGCGCGTTATTGCAATCTGTTAGGAATTATGTCTCTGTTATCAAAAATACAGAATTTGACTTCTCCCCTCTTCCCTCCAGGAAAAAAGAGGGAGAACAAATGGGCTACGATCTTCCTCCCCTCCCAGACAGAATGCCATTTTTGAAATGTTAAGTATTTGTAAAGGTGGCAATTTCACTGTAGGTTAACCCTGACATGTGGGTAAACATAATGATTCCTCCTCATGAGAAAGTCATGTAGTCTCCCATGAGTTTTGTAAATCAGAGGCCAGTACAAGACTAGAAATTAATTAAATGCTTGACAAATGTAGCCATCTAGGTTCTGTCATGTGACTGCTGCAATAACGCTGATCTAATCCCATTCTTGTTTGTCAAAAAATGAACCTAATTAGACAGAAGCTTTTAGGGATGTACAAAAATGAACTGGTTCCACATCCCAATTGTCTCTGTATTTTTGTCAAGTGTTTACTGTATTTACTACTAGTGTATTGAGCCTCATAATTCTACTTTTGATTTTCAAGAGATTATTTAACTCCTGGCTATGTAAGTTATGTGAGAACACCAGCTGCAAGTGGAGCATAGAAGAAATATGAAACTGGTAAGGAAAATTAATTTAAGGTATCAGTTGTATTTGTGGGAGCATATATAATAATCACAAGATGCTCTCATGCAATTTAACTTGTCTTTTCTTCTAACAGTTAAGATTAATAAAGAAGTTACAAAAGCAAGATGTCATATTAAAGAGCTGCTTACTTGGATTAAAGGTCCACCTTTTTCTTGTATCCAGCCTTGTTCTTATATCCAGTACCTCAGAGAATGGAAAGTTTATCCCCCTCTGAAAATTCATCTCCCTACTGCTAAAGGAGAGAAGACAAGATGAATCCCTGATTTTTCCAGTGATTCACTGCCACAGTGTCCCAAGTCAAAAATTACTAATATTTATGTTACTGATCTGGTAAATCAGCTATTTGCCAAAAGTTTAAATGTTGCCTAAATTTGTGTACCCATTTTATGCGTTAAAAAAAAAAAAAAAATAACTGAATTGGGTGGATGCAGTCATCATATTTGCTTTTGCTTGTATTTTGTCTTATAAAGAGCAGTCTCTTGTCTGAGTTCACCAGCAATAAAAATCAGTGTGCTGCTAGAGGAGAGATAGACCAAATATCTGAAATACAGGAATTGCTCTGTCATAGTGAGCATGTGAACTGTATTTTTTAAATCATAGTCCCAAAAGATTTATTTTCAGATCAGCATAATGTTGCTGGCTAGAAACACTAATGATGGCCAGTGCTATGGAATCTGTTTTTAAATCCAGATCCAAATCCACATCAAAAACTGTATGTTTTTGATAGCTTTCTGTATTGACACAAGGCAGCATCTTGCACTTGTGTAAAAGGAAAGCTGTGCCAAGCTGACATGTGGTGCTACCCACAAACAGGAAGCCCTCTTGTCGGTGGAAGTGATTTCAGAAAGATCTCAACAGATGAACTGAAATAAAGGAGACTCATTAACTGGGCATTGTTAGCAAGAGAATAATCCAGAGTGGCAAACTTGGAAGGTAGGATATTCTTTCAGATTGGTTTGTTTTGGTTTTTTTAACAATTACAGTGCCCTAACTTGTTAGTTCTTAACCAATGATAAAAAGATGTTAACAGCTCCAGGTTTTTCTGTGGTTTTCTTAATATGGAAACTTAGCAAAATGCACTGATAAATGCATTTTGGAGCTAATAACCTGATTGATTACCTTGCTGCCAGTTTGAAATGTAACAGTAAATAATGTATAGTAAATTCAGGCCTTAAAGTTCAATAAAGTAGAATTGTTTTTCCTCTGAAAGTGTAAGCTACTGATCACACAGAAGGCCAATGTATGTTTTTCTTTTTCTTGGTAAATTACTTAATGTATTGCTTGCTTAAAAATTGCCAGATGAAAAGTGCTACATAAATATTAAGTAATAATATTTTTTTCTGATAGCTTTCTCTGCATTGAGTTCTGAGTTCTGAACAGAGCTACGGACTGACCTAGGCAGAGGTGTATAATCCTCTCCCATCTCTATGTTCCCATGCTTTTCAGGCTGGAACTGGAATGCATGTTATCATTTCTTCAATTCAAATGCAAAGTTTCTCCATTCAGTTATATGTTCCTGAACTAGATTTTCTTTCTAGAAGCGTGAGTTTTTTCCTTACGTGGCTGAAGTAACAGCGGTGCAATTTTGGTACGTCTCTTGAGGAAACTGGTATACCATGATGGTCCTTGGCAGAGTGTAGTAGGGCTCTCCTTAAATTGGTGCAGTGCAGGCAGGACAGTTGTAGTGTGTTGTGTTAAGGAGGAGGCTCTTGCCCCGCCAGTTATGATAAATTAAATGCTTGTGGTTTGTTTCAGCTTGATTGTACTCTGCACAAGGCTTTTACAAATGTAGTCTCAGTGGCACGCTCAAACATCATTTGACTGTTCAGATGTTATTTGCATACCACTTTCAAACTGCAGATGATACTTATGTCATATTTTTGGAACTGCTGGCCCAGATTATTTTCTCTTTCTTATTATTGTTACAGCTTCAGAAAACAACTTCACATCTTTACTTTGTACATCTGTGTCTCTGTTGTCTCTCCTCAGCAGCTTTTGAATCCTTTGGCCCATTTTAACCACATTTTGCAAAGGAAACTTAAGGGGTAGTGAGTTGAGGTAATTTTCTTGAAAATAGGAGGAAAAACACATCAGAGAGTCCGTACTGTATGTTGACTTTAGCAAAAGTGCAGACAGGAAGCAGTTTTACTGTATCTGCTCGTATGGAGCTCCTGGTTTCTAAAGGACTCCCTTCCCTACTGCTCCCTACAGCCTGGCCTCTTATCTCAGCTGAGACAAAAATTAAATTCAGCTGTATTGCATGGGTCTGTTATCTTCACGTTCCCAATAAAATTGAGCTGACTGGGTTTTTTGAGATCTTGGGAGTAAGAGGGCTTGTCTTGTGAAAATGGATTCAGAATTCACTTGCTTGTGAAACAACCTTATGGTAATGCCTATCTCCTTTCCTTTTAACTTCAGCACACAGTGCATTGTCACTGCTGTGCTTTCTGATTGCGTACCATGAAGATGTTTTTCTGTAGTTAAAAATACATGTACTTTTTTTTTTGCCTTTTTTTTTTATTTTGGGAACTGTTCTGTCAAAGAAAATGTCTTGAAAATATGAATTATTCCCAAAAAAAGCATGTTGTTTTCTGATTCATGCACAAATGCTGCCCTGTTTGTACTGGGGGTAAGGCTCCCTGCTGCTCCATTGTGTCTCCAGCCTCAGATTAGAGAAGCCATCAGACAGCTCTGGCTTTTGTGCAACATCACTTTTTCCTTGAGGTGTTAATAACTTTGTTGGCTGGAAAAGCAGCCTTTGATCTTATCTGTGCTCCAGAAAGTTTGCTGAGAAAAAGAGTGATTATATAGGGATTGCTTAAGCTTATTTTCTCAGATGAAAAAGGATGTCTTGCCAGTGTATCTGCCTGTATCTGATATCTCTTAATTGACAGAGAGAGGGGGAATGATCTTTCTGCTTAATGGATTTGTAGTGATTTATGCTAAGCCCCCATCCTATTTTTTGTTATAGCAACATGAAGGGACATGGAAGGAGGTATAAAGTCAACATGTGCTTATTTGAAATGTGAGGGTGCAGAGGAAACTTGACATGGGAGTTGGCTGCTGGAGATTTGTCGTGTCCAATTACTTGTTACATGTCATCTGCAGAGCTGGTGTGGATTCTTTGTGGCCTGTACTTGAGAAGATCTATGCAAGGTAGAAAGAGGCTTGTGCATGGTGGAAAATTCCCTTTCAGCCTAAGTTAGCTTTGCGTGTTCCTGGGATGCTGCCGTGGGGAAGGTTTTAGAAGGAAATTATCCTATTAGCAGCAAAGCCTGCTGCTTTGGGCTGGTGAACGGAGTGCCTCCCTCCTGGAAGAGGAGTGACTTTGCTCTCACTGATGTGTGCAGCCAGCTTTGGTGCTGCCTTGTATAAATCTCTATTTTTGCGCGTTTAATGCAGTTGTGTGCAGCTGAGCTGTCAGCTTGGTTTCCTGCGTGTGGCAGCAGCTGAGGTGACTCATCTCTTCACCACCAGAGCAGCTTCAAAAGGCCTGCAGCCTGTTTTGCTATGCAGCAGGAGACATTTCCCTTGTGAAGAGAGCAGCATTAAGCCTGCAGACATGCAGCTGGTGGCAACTGGTTGGTGTAAGCCTGAAAATGGTGCTGTTTGGGGCTTCTTGATGAAAAATCATCATTTTCCCTTTTAATCTGGGCAGGAGTGAAAGGGAACAAAGATGTGTGTGTTTGCTTTGAGTCATGAAAGGAGCCATGCTGTTAGAAATTCCACACTGGTAAACCCAAGGAGGGCAAAGTCTGGGAGAGCAATGCTGAAAAAAGCCATGGGCAGTTTTTCTAAGGCCTCCAGAGATGCTGAACATGTTGAAGGAGAGTTGCTGAAACTTCCTGAGAGGTGTCAGAGGAGCAGATGCTGATGGGACAGAATGCACACGGCAGGCTGAAAGTGTGAAGCATCTACTGTGGGTATCTGTTTGAAATTACAGAAAAGAGGAAAGGAAAAAGGTGGGAAGAAAATAATGAAAAAATAATCCTGGAGGTGGCACCCCTGGAAATGCAGTACCCAGTCTTACTGCCAGAAACATGCCAGCTGCCCTGGATGTGTACAAATAATTTCTGAGCAGTTTTCAGGACCAAAACAAATCTGCAAGTGGGTAGGTAAACCACGATCATAGGGCATCTGTCTATACGTGCTCTGGAAAGTGATTTAATACTGAGACGCTACCCTAGGCTCCCAATTGTGCCTAAGTAAGTGGATCTCATCTAGGAGAAATGCATAGCTATAGTGAAAGCATACAAGTAGAAAAAGCTCTTGGGGGATAATTAGCTCTCTCAACAACCAAGGGTTAGGCACCTGCTGTGATTTAAGAAATTGGAACATTTTCTCTTGAACATCTTTTTTTCTTGTTCTCTGCAGCCTGTCTGTTTTCAGTTTTCTTTTCTGTGTCCTGAGAGGTCTTTAGATAATACACCGCAGCAGGACACATAATTCTTCTCGTGTCAGAAGGGTGGAAGAGGCTGTAGGAAATACAAAATGTTCTCCATAATTTTGAGAAATACAAGAAAAATACAGACAGTTCTTATCAATCATGAATGAACTTCAGTGGTGACTGAAACGTTAAGATTGCATGGGTTGCTTCTTTGATGTTTCATGTGTTGGGCAGAAATCCACTTAGGGAAAAATTATCACTGTTCTGTATTTGGCGTCTTTGTTCTTATGTTTTGAGTAACTCCCAGTAAGGTTTTATGGGAAGTAAAATTTGAAGTTTGCCATATCACAGAGCTTAAATTTGGATCCACTTATTTTGCTCTCATTCCCCTGTAAGTATTTTGTTAAGAGTACAGGCTGTGCCCTTACTCAGTTTCTTTGATTTCTGACTGTTCTTTGCAATGCTGTAGCACTTGTACTTGTGAAAAGGGAATGATCAAGAAGAGTCACAAATACTCTGGAGGGAACAGGACTCAAAAGCAGACCTTCATTTGTATGCTGCTTCCATCTACAGCATCTGCTTTCATTATCTTTCCGGTCTAGTTCTTTGCTGTAAAACCCATTGGGGTACATATTTGTGGTTAAAGATACAGATTTCAAAATGTTTAAGAGGAAAGGGATTAGGAACAGTGTTGCAGCAGGAAAGGAAGAAACAGCATGAGGAAAGGGCTTCTACACCCCCTTTCACAGTTCCAAACCTTTAGCTCCATCTTGTATACTCTTGTTTGACAGCTTTTAGGACATAGGTTCTTGGCCTTACAGGAAGCGTGGTGTGTAGTGTAGCTGCGTTTCTCAGTGTCTCAGTTGCATGCTTGTACACACTTGCTCTTCTCTGATGGAATCAGGAACATTCTCATAGGTGAGACCTTTGTTCCATCAAGTGTTACAGTACTGCATAGCAAAGATGGAGCAAAGGTGTTATTTCCCCTTTCTGAGCAGTAACAGTGTGTTCCTTAATTCTCTTGACTACC